CCGGCGGCTTCCCCGTCTCGTTGTCTTCGATTCCGAGACTTTACCGCCTCGATTTGTCTCACAACAACTTTTCCGGGAGTATACCGTCGAGCGTGAACCGATTGACTCATCTATTGACGTTGAGGTTGGAGGAAAACGGGTTCTCGGGTTCGATTTCGGGCCTGACCTCGCTTACTCTGCAGGATTTCAACGTCTCTGGTAACCACCTCGCTGGGGAAATACCGATTCCACTTTCGGGCTTCCCGGCAGAGTCGTTTCTGGGCAACCGGGCTCTGTGCGGGACGCCTCTGGAGAAATGCAAGGTGGTCTCCAGCGACCCGACCAGGCCAGGCGGGGCCATGGCGTCTCCTGTCAGCCCGAAAACAACTGTTGCCTCTTCCCCAACCACCATGCCGTCCGAGATGAAACCGCTGAGTAAGCGGACAGCCGCTGCCCGGAGAAAAATCAGCTGGCCCGCCATAATCGGCATAATACTGGGCGATGTTGTGGTTTTGGGGTTACTGTCCCTGCTTATCTACTGCTATTTCTGGTCAAACTATTCCAAAAAATTAGTTTCAGGGAAAAGCAGAGGCGCACACGTGGAGAAAATCGTGTACTCGTCGAGCCCGTACCCCAACCCAGCTCACTCTGGCCACAAGAGGGGTAAAATGGTCTTTTTCAACGGGGAGAAGAGGTTCGAGCTGGAGGATTTGCTGAGGGCATCGGCTGAGATGCTGGGGAAAGGCGGATATGGGACTGTGTATAAGGCTGTCTTGGATGACGGTAGTGTGGTCGCCGTGAAAAGGTTGAAGGATATGACTGTGAATGGGAGAAAAGAGTTTGAACAGCAAATGGAGTTTCTGGGGAGGCTTAGGCACCCGAATCTGGTGGGATTAAAGGCCTATTATTTCGCCAGGGATGAGAAGTTGCTGGTTTATGATTACATGCCTAATGGCAACTTGTTTTGGCTTCTTCATGGTGAGCTTAAATTCTCTATGTTGCGTAATTTGTTCGTTACTTTAGGATTATGGTTTTTAATCTCGATCGATTGTTTTTTGTTTAACTTGTTATTTAGTTTAAGTCAGCAAGATCTAGCTTGCCAGAACCTATGCCATTCGAATCTGTATCATTAGTATATGAGTTAGATCCTTCATTGAAACTGCTGTTGTTTTGCCTGCTCCAATATTGTAGATATATGGCAGCTAGGTAAAGTAATGACCGTTAATCTTCGTGACTGAACTTGACGTTGCTGAAGCTGAATCTGCTATTGATATTAGAATGTGATATGAAAAGAAGGTAAAAACTTGAGAATGTCAGGAAATGGTTGTATAGAACCATATGATATAGGAAAATGTGGGGACAGAAATAGTGAGAAACTGGAGAAAGGTTTAATGATTCGACAGACTAAATGTACTTCTTAAATTTTCACAGGCAACAGAGGGCCTGGACGGACCCCACTGGACTGGACTGCAAGGCTAAACATCGCATCCGGAGCAGCCCGTGGGCTGGCTTTCATCCACAGCTCGGGCAAACCCATCAGACCCGTACATGGTAACATCAAGTCCACAAATGTCCTCATTGACAAGGAAGGCAACCCAAAACTATCCGACTTTGGGCTCTCGATATTCGCCTCGATTTCTTCTGCCCCGAAATCCAACGGCTATGGAGCGCCTGAATCTCCGCTAGACGGCCGGAAACAGACTCAGAAATCCGATGTCTACTCATTTGGGGTCCTCTTGCTGGAGCTCCTGACCGGGAAGAGCCCATATGTCATGGACGGTAATGGGCCGGGCCATGGCGGGCCGGTGGTGGTGGACCTGCCGAGGTGGGTCCGGTCGGTGGTGAGGGAGGAATGGACATCTGAAGTATTTGATCTGGAGCTAGTGATGTGTAAGGGTATTGATGAGGAGTTGGTGGGTTTGTTACAAGTGGCGTTGGCCTGTGCCGAGGCCTCTCCCGACAGGCGGCCAAGGATGGATCGTGTGGTGAGGATGATTGAGGATGTGAGGGGAGCTGAGGTGTCGCCTTTGCAAGAGACAGTTGGGCCAGGCTCGGGCTCGCCGGTGGGCTCTGAAGGGGAAGGGGTTGACAGTTGAGGAAGGGCTTTGTAAATTTTTGTCACTCAGATGTGTTGTGTTTTGTTTGAGGGCAAAAATGACTTTGAGTAGGTTTTGCTTGAAACTTGTTTTGGTTCCCAGAATTTCAACGGTCGAATTTGCGTTGGAGCAAATTCACTAAACGGCCGGAAGATGAAATCTTATGGATTCGGTCTAAAATAAACTAGTATGAATACCCATGTACAACATGAGTGTTGAGTTAATGAATATATGTGTAAAGTTGTTTATGTCTAATATCAAACTTAACTCCAGAGCAAAAATAATATAAAAACAACATCACAAAACATAGATTTTCGTCATGTAAGCATCCGAAGCGTAAGAATCTGCCACCTAATCTCAACATGTTTTGAATTAATATATAGGGAGGGGTTGAAATCTGTACTTTTACAATAAGAACGCCACTATTTTTAAGTTTAATAAAAAAAATAAATATCACTATTAGTATAATTAAATGATTCACAAATAGTTTCAATGATAGAAATTCGTGTGTCTATTTTTTT